CGTTACTGTACGCCGCATAATATATCTCGTTACACTTAAAAGGTCATTAAGAGTATTTTTAGATACAAATTGATATATACCGTTGTTTCATAAGAAAATAAAAATCAGCCATTCATCTTAAAAATATTTGTATAAATTAATATGTTTATATACAAATTACGAATGCAATTAGATGGTAATTTACATTTTCTTAAAAATTTTCTACACATGAAATTATACACATGCCAGCACTTTACGATCCTGTTGTAAACAATCTATATTATTTTATATTCTTAAAAAAGCTTACGTTAAATATATTTTCTACGATATTTAATTAAATAAAAATAAAATAAAATCGTAAATAATTCTTTTTATATTCTACATAGAATTCAATATTAAATTTTGCTATGTATATATAATCAATTTAACTTTAATAGTACGTTATGCAAATTTTCTTTAGGTTGGGAATCAATGGTTATATATGTAATTTGTTTGATTTTTATAAAAAAAGAAACCGATATATATAATATACCTGGGCCATCAAAATCTCGCCGAGAGCACAATGCAAGCACATATGCGCAAAAATATTGAAAACGTTGGATGCGAAATACACCAAATGAACAAACGACAGATCATTTCCTTCATCGAATAGCTATTCAATTCATGTCAATTAAAATTTAAAATTTATTAATTAAAATAGAGATCTAAAAGAATACTAATTTGTAAATTTATGATAAGATATTACGTTAAAATTGTTCTTTTTCATGTTTCTTTGTGACACATTTTAAAAGTTATTGATTTCTTTTATCGTTAAAGATCAATTTAAGTCATGCTTTCCGAAACTTACGCTAATTATCCGGAAACAGTACAAAGCAAAGAGTATCGCAAAATACAGAAATAACGTGAGAAGCGTTATATTGTACGTATCTTCCATCACGTCGATGGCTCTGTAAAAAAAAATATTATTTTGCATGTGTCACAAGATGAAGAATTGAGATAAAGAATCATACTTTTTTTCTTTTTTTTTATACGGATTCATCGGCATTCGCGCGTGTATAAAATAGCAAACCTGAGCAAACGGACATGTTTCGCAATGCAGTTTCTCAACATGTCGCGTGAATTGATATATTTATCCAAATGCGCCAAACGATCTGTGAGAATATCCAATTGCCCGCATATGTGAAATATTAACAGACCAAGAAAATTATCGATTCCGGTATAGGATATCATGCCGAGAATGATATAGACGGCCTGACTGATAAATGTCAACTCATACTGCGGCTGCCTCGTCACGTCGTAGACATAATGGGTTTGCAGCGGCATCGGTCTCCCTGGATCGGTTATGTTCGGCGTCATTCTCATCGACACGCCGAAACTTGGCAGAACGATGATAAAGAAGCACGTTACTCCCATTATGCAATACGAGCATATGATAATTATGTGCGCAATCCGCGCCCTCTTGATCATCATCCTTTTCTCTCGCACGCTCGTGGACCTTACCCAATCCTCCGCCATCATGTCCATGATCGGTATGATAGCTACAAAAATGCCAATGTATTAAACGATTCGAATGCGCGCTTAAGAGTACCACCAAATTAAGATAGAAAGACTACGTTCATGATAAACCTTAAATAAAATAGAAGAAAGAGAAGAAACTGCGAAAAATAATATTTCTTCTCCTTCGCTTATTTGACAAAATTAATATATATTATGTACATAATATGTACATAGTTTCCGCAATCTCTGAAATTTTTGCTGCGTGATAAACTTGTAATTTTTTTATAAACGGATTCTTTTCGTATTATTTAAATATAAAAGAGATTATCTTAATTCAATTTACATATATATCATTTATTGCATTTTATAGCATAGAGTTACGGCAGATATATTTGCGTTTCTACCTTCTTTCTTCCACCAAAAGATCACAATTCTTATTGGGCAGCTCATGGTTGGCAAAGTGAGTTGTAAATTATCTATCATCAGCATGATATCACCGCGAATTCTTATCAGTGAGTGTATAGAAGGGATCAGAAGGCAAAGAGTTATTCCCAGAAAAACGACGAACACCCGAATATCGCACAGTAATTTCTGCTGCGGGCTTTGCGCGGTTTTAGGCCAGAGTCCGATCAAGTCGAGAGCGATACGATTTAGTTTCACCGCCCATTCAAAGTCTACCTATAGAAATCCCAATAAGTCGAGGTTCGTAGAAATCATTGCATAATATCAAACATGTCACAAATAAATCTATAATTGAATGCAAAATGTCGCAAAATGCGTGAATTATCTGAAAGCCATATATAATACTTTCTGTTAATTATGCACACAAATTTAGTGTAATTAATTAAAAATAATAATAATATTTATATTAATGATAAATAATAGCAATGAAAATCATAGCAATTTCAAGTCGTCGTTATCACATATAATTTACGTCTCATTACAATCGGCACTATGTAAGATACAACACTAAGTAAGAGGAGATGGATGGGAAGATTTTACTAAAATGCGATATGAGAAAATAAAAACGTTGCACCGCGAGTATAAAAATATTTTTTACGAGACTGTCCCTTTTTCCAATCGCAACAATCACCGTAAGCACCTCGGTATCCGGAGTATTTAGAACTATCCATGTCAAATGTTGTCTAAAGACTGTCGTCCGCTCCTTTTTTGCGAAACGACGTTACCTCCTGTATAGCAAGAGCGCATGCTCTTGATATTGGAAGCTCTTAAAAAGGCCGGGTAATAAACTCGCGAAAAAACATGTATTAAATATTGCACAATAATCGATCCTTGTTTCAAGTTTCATCATCGCGCATCGCGCAAAATATTCATGCGAGCAAAAAATTTCGTAATAACAGACGAGAGAAAAAAACGGTTGCGTGTACACCTGTTATAGTCTCACGTTTCTATAATCGGTTATAGTAGTTTACAGCTTCGTTATAGTTGATAAACGATTATATAGATTCTATCATACGCATCAGCTACGCTCTTTTTCCGAAGGAAAGTAGATAAATTTAAAAAATGGTTATCTAAAGTCTTAAAAAGAATTCGTTCTTGTTGTGTAGAGCATAAACAAAGATTTTAATAGCAGATAAAAATTAATTAAAAATCATTACATTCTACATTCACGAGAGACTTTAAATTGTGTTTATACTTATGTATACTTATATACACTTCGTTGAGAATGTATCGGTATGTAGTGATGAAACGCAAGAAAATATTTTACTCTAACAAACATTGGATTAAATCATCCACGAATACTTTAGTTCTATCTCGCTTGATAGATCACAATTCTTATTGGGCAGCTCATGGTTGGCAAAGTGAGTTGTAAATTATCTATCATCAGCATGATATCACCGCGAATTCTTATCAGTGAGTGTATAGAAGGGATCAGAAGGCAAAGAGTTATTCCCAGAAAAACGACGAACACCCGAATATCGCACAGTAATTTCTGCTGCGGGCTTTGCGCGGTTTTAGGCCAGAGTCCGATCAAGTCGAGAGCGATACGATTTAGTTTCACCGCCCATTCAAAGTCTACCTATAGAAATCCCAATAAGTCGAGGTTCGTAGAAATCATTGCATAATATCAAACATGTCACAAATAAATCTATAATTGAATGCAAAATGTCGCAAAATGCGTGAATTATCTGAAAGCCATATATAATACTTTCTGTTAATTATGCACACAAATTTAGTGTAATTAATTAAAAATAATAATAATATTTATATTAATGATAAATAATAGCAATGAAAATCATAGCAATTTCAAGTCGTCGTTATCACATATAATTTACGTCTCATTACAATCGGCACTATGTAAGATACAACACTAAGTAAGAGGAGATGGATGGGAAGATTTTACTAAAATGCGATATGAGAAAATAAAAACATTGCACCGCGAATATAAAAATATTCTTTACGAGACTGTCCCTTTTTCCAATCGCAACCATTACCGTAAGCACCTCGGTATCCGGAGTATTTAGAACTATCCATGTCAAATGTTGTCTAAAGACTGTCGTCCGCTCCTTTTTTGCGAAACGACGTTACCTCCTGTATAGCAAGAGCGCATGCTCTTGATATTGGAAGCTCTTAAAAAGGCCGGGTAATAAACTCGCGAAAAAACATGTATTAAATATTGCACAATAATCGATCCTTGTTTCAAGTTTCATCATCGCGCATCGCGCAAAATATTCATGCGAGCAAAAAATTTCGTAATAACAGACGAGAGAAAAAAACGGTCGCGTGTACACCTGTTATATTCTCACGTTTCTATAATCGGTTATAGTAGTCTACAGCTTCGTTATAGTTGATAAACGATTATATAGATTCTATCACACGCATCAGCTACGCTCTTTTTCGAAGGAAAGTAGATAAATTAAAAAAATGGTTATCTAAAGTCTTAAAAAGAATTCGTTCTTGTTGTGTAGAGCATAAACAAAGATTTTAATAGCAGATAAAAATTAATTAAAAATCATTACATTCTACATTCACGAGAGACTTTAAATTGTGTTTATACTTATGTATACTTATATACACTTCGTTGAGAATGTATCGGTATGTAGTGATGAAACGCAAGAAAATATTTTACTCTAACAAACATTGGATTAAATCATCCACGAATACTTTAGTTCTATCTCGCTTGATATATCTCTGTTATCATTCTATTCGTATATAATTGGAATTATCTAATTGTGGTTATATTACACTTACTCATATCGTACTGGAATAAATGCTACATTAACATGATTTTTATACTTTTATCCTCGCTTTGCCAACAAAAATGATATATAGCCAGCCAATGTTTCCAATAGCTGAAGTATATTATTAAAATTGGTAATATCTATGAATAAAGCCGTGTGCTAAAGCTTTGTAAAATAAAATTCGCAGACATGTCATAAATAAATTTTTTATTTTGTTTTTAAACATCCTGCAATTATTAAAGGATTATTAATATTATATAGATATCTTATTATAACATTTGCTTATTACTAAGTAATTTGATTTGGCTTCAGGTTCATAAAAATGTATGTACATGAGTATGTTCATTTTAATTTTAATTTTAGGCTTCTCTACCTCAACCTCCTTGTACAAGGAGAATATTTCCGTAACATATTTCAATCAAATTGTGCAACAAGATTTATAATTTATTTATAAACAATATATTCGATAATTTAACAGTTTTTTTTTCAAAGCTATCGTATCCGTCAAAAATTACATGAAAAATTATATTTATCTCACTTCTTCATTAATTTCTCGTTGTATGCAAAACAGATATATAACCAGCTGATGTTTTTATTAGCTAAAAAGATATTTTTTTAAATAGTAATTAATGTCATCCTAATGTGCAATTAATCGCAAAGTTGAAGACTGTGCATAGAGGGGCATAAAAAAATTTATTTTATAAACTTCTAAAATATTGTGATACAGTGATTATTATATAAGAGATTTCAACGAGATTTTAGTATCATTTAAGTGCGTTTTACACAACAATAGTAATCAAACATTAAAATATCTTACCCCACAGAATGTAGCTATTGTCATGGGAAACACTTTTCCAGCGGTGAGATAGATCGGTTTAGCACCTCTGATCAATAATGGCAATAAATCCCTAGCATTCTTTGAATTCACCGAATACCATTCGTTACTGTACGCCGCATAATATATCTCGTTACACTTAAAAGAACATCAAGAGTATTTTTAAACACAAATTAATATATACCGTTGCTTCATAAGAAAATATAAATCAGCCATTCATCTTAAAAATATTTGTATAAATTAAAAATTAACATGTTTATATACAAATTACGAACGCAATTAGCTGGTAATTTACATTTTCTTAAAAAGGTTTACGTTAAATATATATTTTCTACGAAATTTAATTTAATAAAAATTAAATAAAATCGTAAAAAAATTTTTTTTGTCCTCTATATAGAATTCAATATAAAATTTTACTATGTACATATAATAAATTTTACTTTAATAGCACGTTAATTAAATCTTTCTTAGATTGAATAAAATTGATTAGATATATAATTTGTTTGATTTTTATAATAAAAGAAAACGATATATAATCTACCTGGGCCACCAAAATCTCGCCGAGAGCACAATATAAGCACATATGCGCAAAAATATTGAAAACGTTGGATGTGAAATACACTACGTGTACGAGCGATAGATTATTTCCTTCATCGAATAGCTAATCAATTCATGTTAATCAAAATTTAAAATTTATTAATTAAAATAGGGACTTGACAGAATACTAATTAGCAAATATATGATAAGATATTACGTTAAAAGTATAGTTCTTTTTCACGTTTTTTGTGACATATTTTAAAAGTCATTGATCTCTTTTATCGTTAATGATCAATTTAAGCCATGCATTCCGACACTTACGCTAATTATCCGGAAACAATACAAAGCAAAGAGTATCGCAAAGTACAGGAATAACGCGAGAAGCGTTATATTGTACGTATCTTCGATCACATCGATGGCTCTGTAAAAAAATATCATTTCGCATGTGTCACAAGATGAAGAATCGAGCGTACATACTTCTTTTCTTTTTTTTTTTTTTATACCAATCCTTTAGCATTCGCACGTGTATAAAATAGCAAACCTGAGCAAACAGACATGTTTCGCCACGCAGTTTCTCAGTATGCCACGTGAATTGATATATTTATCCAAATGCGCCAAACGATCCGTGAGAATGTCCAGTTGTCCGCATATGTGAAATACCAACAGACCGAGAAAATTGTCAATTCCGGTATAAGACATCATAGCAAGAACAATGTAGATGGCCTGACTGATAAATGTCAGCTCGTACTGCGGCCGCCTTGTCACGTCATAGACGTAATAGGTTTGCAGAGGCATCGGTCTCCCCGGATCAGTGATGTTCGGCGTCAGTCTCATCGACACACCGAAAGCTGGCAAAATGATGAGAAAGAAGCATCCTACTCCCATTATGCAATACGCGCATGAGATAATTATGTGCGCGCTCCGCGCCCTCTTGATCATCATTCTTCTCTCTCGCGCGCTCTTGGACCTTACCCAATCTTCCGCGATCATGTCCATGATCGGTATGATAGCTTCAAAAGTGCCAATATATTAAACGATTCAATGCGCGCTTAAGAGTACCGCTAAATTGAGACAGAGAGACTACATTCAAAATTAATCTTAAATAAAATTTAAAAAAAGTTTAAGAAAAGAGAAGGAACTGCGAAAAATAATATTTCTTCTCCCTCACTTGTTTGACAAAAAGGAATATATAATATGTACATAATTTCCGCAATCTCTGAAATTTATGTTGCGCAATAAACTTGTAATTTTTTTAGCTGTAAACAGATTCTTTTCGTATTATTTAAGTATAAAAGGGACTATCTTAATTCAATTTACGTGTATATCATTTATCGCATTTTATAGCATAGAGTTATGGCAGATATATTTGCGTTTCTACCTTCTTTCTTCCACCAAAAGATCACAATTCTTATCGAGCAGCTTATGGTTGGTAAAGTGAATTGTAAATTATCTATCATCAGCATGATATCCCCGTGAATTCTTATCAGAGAGTGTATAGAAGGGATCAGAAGGCCGAGAGTTACCCCCAGAAAAACGACGAGCACACGAAGATCGCACAATAACTTCTGTCGCGGGCTTTGCGCGGTTTTAGGCCAGAGTCCGATCAAGTCGAGAACGATACGATTTAATTTCACCGCCCATTCAAAGTCTACCTGTAGAAATCCCAATAAGTCGAAGTTCGTAGAAATCGTCGCATAATGTCAAATATGTCGCAAATAAATTTACAATTAAATGCAAAACGTCGCAAAATGCGTGAAGTAAATGATCTGAAAGCCATATATAATAATTTCTGTTAATTATGCAATGCACAAATTTAATGTAATTAATTAAAAATAATAATAATATTTATATTAATAATAAATAACAGCAATAAAAATTATAGCAATTTCAAATCGCCATAATCACATATAATTTATGTCTCTTTACAATCGGCACAACACTAAGTAAGAGGCGATTGATGGGAAGATTTTGCTAAAATTGATGCGATGTAAGAAAATAAAAAACGTTCAAGATTAAAATGTTGCACCACGAGTATAAAAATATTTTTTTACAAAACTGTCCCTTTTTCCAGTCGCAACCATCACCGTAAGCACCTTGGTATCCGGAGTATTTAGAACCATCCATGTCAAATGTTGTCTAAAGACTGGCGTCCACTCCTTTTTCGCGAAACGACGTTACCTTCTGTATAGCAAGAGCGTATCTCGCGCATGCTCTCGATAGTGGAAGCTCTTAAAAAGCCGAGCAATAAACTCGCGAAAAAACATATATTAAATATTTCACAATAATCGATCCTTGTTTCAAGTTTCAACACCATATGCGTCGCGCAAAATATTCGTGCGAACAAAAAATAACAGACAAGAGGAAAAAAAGCGGTCGCGTGTACACCTGTTATATTCTCACGCTTCTATAATCGGTTATAGTAGTCTTCAGCTTTGCTAAAGATAAACGATTATATAGATTCTATTACACGCATTATTTACGCTTTTTTTCCGAGAGAAAGGGGATAAATTAAAAAAAAAATTGTTATCTGATGTCTTAAAAAAAATTCGTTCTTGTTGCGTAGAGCATAAACAAGCATTCTAATAGCAAATAAAAACTAATTAAAAGTCATTACATTCTTACATTCACAAGAAACTTCAAATTCTGTTTATACTTATGTACATTTCATTGGAAAATGTATCGGTATATAGTGATGTAAAACGTAAGAAAATCTTTCATTCTAATAAACATTGGATTAAATCATCCACGAATACTTTATTTATATTTTGATTGATATATCTCTTATTATTCTATTCGTATATAATTATCTATTTGGAGTTATATTACACCTACTCATATCGTACTGGAATAAATGCTACACTAACATGATTTTTATTCTTTTATCCTCGCTTTGCCAACAAGAATGATATGTAGCCAGCTGACGTTTTTAATAGCTGAAACATATGCATATAAACATGTAACAAGATATTATTTCTAATTAGCGTATTTATGGTGTTGACAATTTGAAGTTAGAATCAATTTGTTTTTGCTAAAGTAATTTTGAATATATGTACATACATACATGTCTATGGATAATATTTATTATTCTTTATATTTTCGTTTTAATAATTAATTCTTAATAATACTTTTTTGAAACAAACAGAAAGAAAAATTTTTAAATTATATGGGTTATTAATGTAAAGAAAATTTTAAAATTTAAAAAAAAATTAATTTTTTTTATATCCATCAAAGAAAGAAAAACTGCAATTGTAGATACATATATATCTTTCCGATATGATATAAATGGTAATCATTTCTATTTATATATTTTAGATAAGTTTATCACACGTAATTATCTTACGCTGCAGAATGTGGTCATCGTGAGAGGAAATATTTTTCCCGCCGTGATACAAAAGGATTGATTGGCTCGTCTCATTAATAAGATAAGATTTCTTGCCTCTCTCGGCTCGAGTTTGTACCATTCAAGATCGCACATAGCGCGATACACATCCTCGCACTTAACAATCAATGTACAGAATAATGTATCGAGATAATATGATATGTGATGTGATAGTATTGTTATATATAACACATTTATACTCCACTTATAAATTTTCTAAAATATGTAAATACTCACTTGCATTTTTACAATCTCCCCGGCACCGCAATAAAGAAAGGTATGCGTAAGCAAAATAGTAATACCAATTAACGGAAAACATAATCGCGGGAAGGAAAAAGTTTCTTCGGTGATCACCTGGACAATATACCTTGCTAATTAATAAAAACAGATTAATGTGAATCAGATCAATAATATGCGCATAAAAACGAACAAAATGGGAGAAAATAGAAAATATTTTCTTCGATAAATATAAGTACGTGAAACGTGTTAAAATGGGAGTCTTGTTTAAAAACTTACAGTAAGCAATAGAAATCCATGTAAACAAAATAAAATGCTGAAATAGATCACTAGGCCCAACATCATTAACGTAAATGTATCTTCAATCATATTGGCGAATCTACAATAGTTTTATATATAAATAGATTATATATTTTTAATATATACATATATATATATATATATCATATTTCATATTTTAATTATATTTTCTTTATCATTGTTAATCTCTCGATAAAAGTTATTTTTTAGTAAACGTGTTGTATTAAATAGATTTGCACATGCAAAATTATTTTTGTTATTATATTTATTATTATCTTTATATCTTAACAAAAGTGCAAATAATAGAAAATGCAAATAATTATCAATAATTTATATAAATAAAATGTCAGGAATAATAATCTCTGTCTCACATTCTTAATCTAAAATAAAAAAATATAAATATTTCTTCCTTTCTCTCTCTCTCTCTTCGGAAGAATGATGAGCACGGTGAACACGAATATCATCAAAGCGTATCCGCCGATCACGACCAGTCGAGCAGCTCGCGCTCGTTTGATCATCACGTACCTCTCTCTGTCTACCCTCAACTCGATTAAAAATACCATTGTTTTTGAAAAGAAATCCTTAAAAAATCTCTTGTTTTCGGCTTGTCTAAAGGTATATACCTTTTAAAATATAAAAATTATAAACTAAAATGTGCATATCTCTCTAAAAACTCTCTGAAAGATTTATAAAACCTAAAATTGAAAACTTGAAATTTTAAGTTTCACTAACAATACAAAATAAGGCAAAAAAAATTTTGCACGGCGAAGATATAACTCTCACTGTGAATAACCGGGAAGAAAAATACATAACAGGCACTCGATACCTCTGTAATCCGAATGTTTAGAAATGTCCATGTCGAAGACTGAAGCCCACTTCATGCGCCGCCGTACTATCATCGAAAACGATGATCACCACGCATGCTCGCGATACGAGTGCGACAACCTGTGCCAGCCGCTTCGTCGAAGAATGCATTAAATATTACGAATGTTACGCCCAATTGATAACAGCCGTTCGTTTTGCGCGATAAAACTTTATGCGAGAATAAGAGGGTACGTCGTAAAAAGCAACGATGTATCTACGCAACTAATAGAAAGGGAGTTATGTTGGGTTACAGGTAAGTCCATCGAATTTTTTCGTTGTGCAAGTTTCTTCGTACTTTATAACGACAATTGCGTTCACTTCGCGTAACGAGAGATAATGTTACATGTTGCATGTTGCATATTTAATATCTATATAGAGGAAAGTCCCTTCATGGGGAAGAAGACATAGAAAAACTTTAGTCATGCACAAAAAATAATGCGGCGGTAAAGACGTACAATCTCCCGTAAGTATAAATTATAAGAATATCGTGAATGTCTATCTTGAAGACACATTTTTTTATAATAAATGTTAATAAATACGGTACTAACAAACATAAATATAATATAATAGATATGTAAATTACACAGTTATCTTATCAAAAATAGATGTGATTGTTGCCCTTCGATAAACATAATAAGAACATTATTATTAAATTATTATATATACTTTGAAGATTTTTTAAATTTAGACGCATAGATTGTATTACATATCGTTAATTTATAATTATCATGTTTTTTAATCTAATAAACTTATTATACGTAAAACACATCTTCGTCTCTCATATTATTGATTAGTTCTACTTACGCGAACTAATAGAAAGAAATATCTCACAATTAGCTTTTTGTGGGTGGGAATACTAAATACATATAAATATTTGGAAATTATTACTTTTACATTAATTTAATTTAAACAAATTAATTCTACATTCTCTCTCTTTCTTTCTCTCTCTTACCGATATAGTCATCAGTTTTTGGTCATAATATTAACTCATCGAAAATATATTACTATTTATTCTCTTTCAATTTCTGAAAAAAATAATGTAATTTTTCTCACGCTTCAATTTCGCGATTTGCTAGTAGAAACGATACATAACCGGCCGACGTTTTTAATAACTGAAAAACATATTTATATATTTTTATCTGTGCGAGATTTCGCATAAAAGTGCGAAAAGATATTCGAAGATCGGAAAGGAAACTGTCCTTAGCTGCTTTATCGGTTCCGGGCCATAAACCGATCACTTCCAAACTGATCCGATGTAATTCAACCGCCCACACAAAATCTAACAAAATTTTATTATAAAATGGTAAAAATTTTTGTCAAAAAATTTTAAATATACCAAAAATTTAATAATTCAATAATGTAAGGCTTTGTAATAAAAATCTAAAGACTGGTATTCATATTCAACTTATAAAAATCGGAAAAAAGCTCGTTATTTAATGTTTTCAAAGGCAAATAAAAATGCGAAAAATTGTTGAATTTGTAAATTTGAATACGCAGTCTGAAATCGCAAAATCAAAATAAAAAGTTTGTCCATTAGTCGAGCAGCAAGAGATAAAGCCAAGAAGATAACATATATTACTAAAAATGCAACGTATGTATAAATTAATTCTATTATTATATATAAATATTTTTCTTTTGGATTGGTACAATAAGAAAATTATACACAAGAGTTCCTCGCAAAAATTATATATATTGTGAGTGAAAGTACGTATGATAAATGCTCGTTACCTTTGTAACCTGAATGTTTGGTAATGTCCATATCGAAGACTAATGAAGAGAAACTCGCTACACCCTACTCCAAAAGTTGCGAAAGATAATCATCACGCATGCTCGCGATACGAGTGCGATACCCTGTGCCAGCTGCTTCGTCGAAGAATGCATTAAATATTACAAATGTTACGCCCAATTGATAACAGCCGTTCGTTTTGCGCGATAAAACTTTATGCGAAAATAAGAGGGTACATCGTAAAATGCAACGATGTATCTACGCCACTAATAGAAAGGGAGTTACGTTGTCTTACAAATAAGTCCGTCGAATTTTTTTGTTGTACAAGTTTCTTCGTACTTTATAACGACAATTGCGTTCACTTCGCGTAACAAGAGATAATGTTACATGTTGCATGTTGCATATTTAATATCTGTATAGAGGAGAGTTCCTTCATAGGGAAGAAGACAGAAAAACTTCAGTCATGCACAAAAAAAAATGCGGCGGTAAAGATGTACAATGTCCCGTAAGTATAAATTATAAGAATATCGTGAATGTCTATCTTGAAGGCACATTTTTTTATAATAAATGTTAATAAATACGGTACTAACAAACATAAATATAATATAATAGATATGT